ATATATTCATTCAAGGTGTTTTATCGAATTTTGAGAATTAAAAAAATTGAATAAGAATTAGATTTGAGACTAGATCAATAAAATGTTGGATCCTCCTTGCTCGGTCTTCCAGGGATGCCAAGCGGCTTGGATGGAAGCAGGGTTGCCAGGCGGACGGGTGGAAGCAGGGTTGCCGAGCTTTCGGTCTAGGAGGTTCGTTGCGACGTGGCTTCTTCTCGGGAGGGCCAGGTGTTTCATCGATGGGATTCCACCGTGTCGTCAGTTCGGGTCGATTCGTTTGATCAGGCGATGCTCGGGAAATCGATTCAGTCGTTCCGACTTCATTTCTTAAGCGAAGTGATGATACGAACACCGTCATCGTCGTTGCGAAGTCCTGCACGGCGAACGAAGACGATGCGACATCCGGCAACCCTGTCAAACCGTTCGTAGAGGGATTCGGGTCGACTCCCCAGTGCAGAGTCGACACGGGAGGACGACTCTTCAATTTGACGTACAACAGTCCGTTTCGTTCCCAGACGACACGAAGGGTCGCACCCACTGACTCGATCTCGAGGCGAACGTCGACTTATTTCGGCGGGCATGTCGTCCCATGCGGTCGCCGGCTGAGTCAGCAGCTGCGGAGCGCGGATTCGGGCACCGCGTGAGCGAGTAGGAATCGCAGGAGCATTTTAGAAGGCTGGAATGACAGGCAAACGCGATGACAATCCTCCCGAAGGAGGTCGCAGGGCTGAGGATGCGGAGATGGCGGCAGGGAGACGCCACATAGATCAGATAAGGACTCAAGGTCCTGATAAGGAAACTCACTCTCCGCGGCCAGGGCCGGGTTCAAGAACGATCGCGAATGCTCCGGAATGCCCCGGAATGTCCCGGAATGCTCCGGAATGCCCCGGAATGCTCCGGAATGCTCCGATATGGAGAAGGCCTCCGCTCGTTGAAGGGAGGAACCAGGTGAGGCTGGGTCAGAGAGAGCAGTCCTCCGGCTCGAGGTGAGGAGACCGAGGACGAAAGGGACGGAAGAGGTCAAAGGGTACACGACGCAACGACGCTTCCAACCGAAGAAGACGGACCCCGGTGAGCCGTCAGTCGCTCGACGAGAGACGCATCGGAAGGCCTGCACCTCCCACTCCGTTCTCCCTCGGTCCAGCGAGGAATACGTTCGTCCCGCCGCACCCAGTCGCGTTTCCTGTCCGTGGAAAGGCTTGCCAAGAATCCTCGCGTCGTGGACAGCGAGCGACAACATCCAAGCTCTCACGATTCGGATCGATTCGACAAACGCTCCTCGTTCTTCCGCTCCAAACGCCTAAGGAAAAGGCTCCACGCGATCTGGTCTCGTCCCTGGGAACGCGGCGATTCGCATGGGAACGCGGCGATTCGCATGGGAACGCGGCGATTCGCATGGGATTCGCCTCGGATTCTCCACGAAAGGGGGAGGTCCGTCTGCGGCATCATCCGGCAGATGACGCTGCCGTCTCGCGGGGAGGTCGGAGTGTCGTCCGAGTTCGGTCGGAGGGAAAGGAGGTCGATGGCAGCGTCCGGATTCGGAGAAAATCCGGAATTAAATTTCCATCTTCAAATAAAAGATTCTTTGTTCTCCTTAATTCCGGGGAGATGGAACATTTGCTGGAGCGATTCTGCGGCATGCCCGACTGCGTTCCTCCAGATGTTCTCGAAGGAAGAAGAGGAAGTGAACTTTTTTTTTACGGGGAAGGGGTTGAACAAAGGGCATATTGATGAATCCACCATACGCTCTTAGGAAAGAGTGAGCAATTTCCGAGAGAGAGAGAGAGAGAGAGCGAAACTGGAGTTCACGGTTTCACTCCCTAGAAACGAGGAATTGCGATCGATAACTCCTCCTTCGAACGAGCAGAATCCGTTTTTAAGAGCGCGAAACGGAGGAGGGAGAGAGTACTTTCCAAACTAGTGGGAAAAAAAAATTAGGTCATTCTCAGGAAACAGAGAAGTGAGCGGAATCGACGAGCAAGGCTTTCCTCTTCAACGGGACGAATTGCAATCGGAATAAATTGCAATCGGAATAAATTGCAATAATAAAAAAAGGGAAGACCACGAACGCATTCCGTTCTCCAGGGCGGATTGCATAAAACTGCCTCTGGCGTAAAAGGAGATTTAAACCTCCTTCACCCCGAGTCTCTGGAATCGAGCCGACAGGAGGCTTTTGGAGCTGGGTCCTCCACTTTACCCAGGCGTCAATCGGGCGTTCCTCTTCTTCGTGGACTCCAGGCGCTCCACTTTTCATAGATATGGCGAGTTGTTGATAGGCTCGCCGCTTCTTGGTGTCCCGGTTTGCACGACGACATCGACTCGACGTTGGTGATATTTTGGCGATGTCGAGAGGATGTTGATGCCGATGATGCATTGCGAGGACGTCGTTCGGTCGACATGACATCGACATGCGTCGGGCGAGACATCTGGCGAGACCTTCGAGCAGATAAGGTTTCCCGACCCCGCTGAGAGACGGCGCCAAATCGCCAACCCGGAGAGTCACATCACACGTGCAGCCGGCACGCGTCCCCTGTACTTTAGTAACGGTACTTGAAACTTTCTCCACAGACGGCACCGGGGAAGGTATTTGAACTCCAGGATACATTGGACGAAAGAGGCCACCCAACCCAACGAGATCTGGGACAATTCTGGCCTGGGGAACAGAGAAAAAAAACCTTACATGTCGATACCGCACCTACCCCCGCCACAGCGAAATCCAACCTTCAACCTTGTTTCGTACTCGTTCTCAGTTGAGAAGTCGCGCTTATCATTCATGGGACTCCGGTCATCTGCGCAGGCTCGTTCGTCGTGCTCGGGCCTTGCCAAGTGGCGCGATGCATCTCTCGTGTCAGCGCTGAGGCGGTGTCGATTCAAGGTAGCAACGTTCTTCAACGTCGACTCGACATTGTGGATGTTGGGACTCGAATGCCGTTTCGACGTTGCATCGATGTCGATGTGCAACCGTAGCAGTGTTACCTCGACGTTGCGCAAAAGGTCGCCCCGATACGGAACTGAACTGAAAATGTGTCGTGCGAGCGTTGAATTATCAACGTTAGAGCATTCCAGCCGTTTCCATTTCCTGGGTCTGAACGAGCGCTAATATCGATTAGACGACGAGATCGCATGCATATTAAATTCATTGAGTTTAATCTTAATAGATTACATTTATCAAACCATTACTGGTATTGAGTAATTAAGCGACACGACTCTTTCCATTCAGCGCGTATTTCCTTTGCCGAATGGTTGCACAATGCAGCTCAATTATTAATCAATTATTTATTATTTATTATTAATAAAAGGTTGAAATGTTGAGACATGGCTGAAGCATCCACATTTAAATAGGTTCTACCAACGGGCGCGAGATGGCGCCGTCTCATCTCCAAGCGTTTCTCACCCTGGTGGTACTGGAACGAGTACTTTTCACACAGTACCTGACCGTTTCCCACGAGCCTAAGAAGAAGCCCTTGGAATTTCTGGACAGTCTCGTGAGGTAACACGGCAGGAGAATCAACTACCTGCCATGGAGTCCGAGGGGACACGCTGCAATTTCCTCATGGTGTTTATGCGGGCACGGATGGGTATGGATTGCGGGGGAAGACGGAATGAAGCCAACTTATATTGCGCGCTCGACACGATCCTCAAAGTGAGGATCGCGTCGCAATATAAGTTGGCCGTGCGGTTTCTCGAGTTTAGCGCAGGGAATGAGCCGCCCTCGCACCATCGAGTAGAGAGTGTAACTGGAGGGCTCCACTCTCGCATCCCGTTCATCGGCAAGATCGCAATATAGATGTCGCTGTCGATCCTCCACCTAGCGGGCGTATGAAACACCCCTCCATGGCCAAGCGGCGGACTCGACGAGACAGGCGTATTACATGGTGTCTCCCTACGGGTCGAATCCCCGAATGAGTCGATTCCCGATTCCGCTGCCACCAAGCAAGCCTGACGGAAGTGTTGTTGATAAACCACCAAATGTCTCTCGATCCCCCCCCTAACAGTGTCGCCTCTAGTCACAGTCTCTATGCTTATACCGGAGAGGGCAGTAAATATCAGTAAATAAGTAAAAGGATAAAACGAAAGAGTGAAAGAAATCGGTCGGTCATATTCGGAAAATCTCCTTTTCTACAGAAAATACGGCCGTCTCAGTCCCTCCCCTTCCATTAGAATTTTCCTCAAGGGTTGAAAAAGTGAGATGCCCTACGTATGGATCTACTGCTACGATTCGGCGCAGGGAAAGGGCTGGGTTGGAAGGGGGAGGGACGGCGTCGTGGTCAGACACGACCGCCATACAGAGTAGCGACCGGTCGAGAGGGAATCACCGTAATATACTTTTAGATAGAAACGCAGAAAAGCAAAGAAGGTTTAAGAACTTTCTGGAGAGGCGCGCGTCGCATGCTCCATGTGGCTTCGAGCGGGCGCGGCTCTGATTGGTCAAGAGAACAGCGGTTCTCGATAGAGACCTCCGCGGAACTCTTTTTCGTCCCGCGGTGCGCGATGCCGCATGCCTATCTTGGGGCCTTGCGGGTTTCTGTTCCTATGACCCGCGTAGGATCCGCGACTCCAAGCCTCCGTGCGCGTTTCTTGTTTCCCATTCTCATCGTGTTCCAGACGGAAATTTCCAGAATGCCCGAACTCTGGACGTGTCCTGAACATGCCAGGCTACTTGAGTCTCGCTATAAATACCGCGTGAAGACTTTCCCACCGACGAATTCGAGAAGCGATCCGAAGTCGTGAAACTCTCGACGGACTCTTGCGTACTTCGTTGTATTCTTTTGTTACCGCATAAGAATTCATCGGTAAGTCAGTGTGACTGAAGTTTGCCGTGCAATCAGTGGCGTAGCTAGGTTTTCGCCAATGGGAGGCTAACCGGAACGTTGGGGGGGGGCTCACTTCTCCTTAGGGGTGGGGGGCGGACGCATTCCGACCAGAGTTCCGATCCCCCCTTGCTACGCCACTGCATGCAATACACAAATTATTGTAAAATCCACATAAATTACTAGGTGTAGCTCATTTCTTGGATTAGGCCATGGCACTGTTTCCTTGGGGAATGTGGCCTCAACGCGACTGGTGGAGAGAAACGGACCCCGTCACTCGCCTCTTTGATCAACATTTCGGCATGGGCCTGATGAACGACGATCTCCTGGCCCCACCCACCTACCACCCTTTCTATATTATCGCCAGTCGATCGAATCGCGACCGACTCAAGTCGGGCGTGAGCGAAGTGGTCAATGACAAAGACAAATTTCAGGTAGGTCCAGGTTTCGGATATATTTTCATATCGAGATTTTGAATGCGTAAAATCGGTTTCGAGGGCATGTTGAGAAAGTCGATTGGTAGATGTAACGTGCTAATTGCAAATCGTCGATGGAAAAGAAACCTGATAGAGGTGATGGAATTTCCATCTCTTCAGGTGAACCTGGACGTGCAGCAGTTCACCCCGGAGGAGATCAGCGTGAAAACGGTGGAGAACTCGGTTGTGATCGAGGGGAAGCACGAGGAGAAGCGAGACGAGCACGGATTCATCTCTCGCCACTTCCAGCGACGATACCTCCTTCCTGAGAATGTCCGGCCGGAGAGCATCCAGTCCTCCCTCTCCTCCGATGGAGTTCTCACCGTCACCGCTCCCAAAATGGTGAGGCTAATCTTTATTTCCGCAGCCTATTACTGCAGCTAAGGGGAATTGGTTTGTCGGCTTGGCTTCCTAACAAATTTCGATAATTAATTTTAAAATGGTAATCAATTTATTTATATGGATTTGCTTGTTCTCGTTTAATATCAGCTTAATTGAATACCAACAGGGTAATTGAGAACATTTTGGTCGTTTTAACAGGCCATCGAAGGCGCCCTGAATGAGCGGATGGTCCCCATCACCCGGACAAACCAGCCGGCCATGATCGAAGGCGAAGAGAAGGCGGATCGGAAGGAATGAGGTGGAAATGCGTCTGTTTTCTTTTCCCTCTCGAGAACTAACCGGACGATATGAACCATTGTGCGGTATTTCTTTCAGGTATTTTTGCGTCTGGAGTGTTTTTTCTGTGCTTCTGGAGTGCCCTGCGTCTTGTGAAGTGTATTGGTGATATTTTCCTTTTCGGTCTTATTTACTTAGATCTAATAAAATGTATTTCATGTTTCTGTGCTTCAATGTGAATTGTGAATAATTTGTATCCGTGCTCTCCTGCTACGGACATCTGCAAGATGAAGAAAATAAAATTGTAGACATTTGTCCTACAATCTAACAGTTTACAGGGCAAAACTCTGGGGCATCAAAATCTCACCCTGCCAAACAGTGATTGCAACCATGTAAAAATGATCAATAGTCAAGTTTGAAAATGTGGCAAGTATACTTACCAAAGAACGTTTGGATGCGTGGTCGAGGACATTATGGTTTATTTAGAATAGGAATTTCATGGGAAAGGAACTCAAAATAACAAACTGGTCAGTATAAATGTAATTACCATATAAATTGTTAAATATATAAGTAATTAGATACCTTTTTCAGTGTAGAGTTGGAGTGCCGTAAGGAGCAGGAATCTTCAACATGCGCGTCTAATTCCATAACTTCAAAGAGGAAGGGAATGAAGGACTTTTCCCCTATTGTCTTCGAATGCCGATTCACACGTGCTGGTGCATCGAAGTGGTGTGAAAAAAACATTTGAAATGCCTTCCCTTTGCTTGAACCACCCATGGGATTCACTGTTAGGCCTAGGCCTAATCCGCGAATTGCATTCGGGTCATGGCCTACCTCTCGTCACTCGAAGGAATCGCAACGCTCGACTGATGGGATGGATCTGGCCTATAACGGCCCGTCGCCGGGTTTTCGGGACGCCTCCGCGAGATGTCTCGACGTCGATGATGTGTTGAGAGGGTGTCGTGATCCGATGCATTGCGAGGACGTTGTTCGGTCGACGTTACGTCGCCATATGTCGGGCGAGACATCTGGCGAGACATCTGAGCAAATAAGGCTTCCTGTTCCCGATGAAAGATAACGATAAATCACCAACACACGGAGTCACTTCATTTATGCAACTGGCACGCATCCCCAGTACTTTTGTAACTGTACTTAATATTTTCTTCATAGACAGAATCAGGGATGGTATTTGAATTCCTGGAAACATTCGTCGAAAATGGCAACCCAACCAAATGAGATCCAGGGTAATACTGGTCCGGGAAACGGAGAGAACAAAGTTCACGTGTAGATGTGACTCCAAGAAATTCGGTAGATTCGTTATAGCCGGTCTAAGTATACTTTTCGTTCATGATCTTTACTTGGATCCAAATAAGTGGTAGCTCGATCATCATGACTCGATTGTCCTCCGGGGCCTCTATAACTGACCGAATTTTCATAATTACGACATACGACCGAAGTCTTAATTGAGAGCGACATCTAACTTTACCACCGACAAGTCCAGTCATCTCTGGCCCTTTTCCTGGCCGTCACAACCAAAGATCGGATATCCAGATGGCTTTGTTCCTCACATTTCCAGTTTCGATTCGAACAATACTTGGGTACCCTTGTCACCCCAATTTCTAATAACAGCTGTCGTTTCATCAATCGAGTAAAGCCGCCTTACACAAGGCCTAGGACCATCACAACTCTCCTTCGTCTTCCAATCCTTTTTCACAAGAAAGACAAGAGTTCTCTGTTGGTAACTGCTGCGCTATGTCTCCAAACAGTCGAGGTGGTAAAATTATAAATACACAATGAAGTAAATTCCACGTGAAAGACGCATGGGATAATTGAAGTTTAATAAGGAGCCATCTTTGACAACAGACGACGGCCTATGACAGCGTGACGTCAATTATCATCGAAGTTATGATGATCGAGTTATGATATTTGGGTTCGATACTTAGACCCAGATCGAGTTATCATAATCGAGTTATTATGATATTTCGATCATGATCGAAAAGTATACTTAGACCGGGTAATTCTGTGGGTCGCGCGGAAATTTGTACAGAGTGGTTGTTAGTCGTCGATTCTCTGGTTGTAATCACTTTAATTCCATCCTTCCGCAGGAATTTGTTAGATCTCGGCGAAGGGAGAAAGGATTCCGGGATGCTTCATGCATATTCATGCGGCATGAATATGCATGCGCCAATGCATTCCTGCATTTGCATGCCGCATGTGCTAATGAATTGGCGCATGCGCAATACATGTCGAGAAATTGTTTAGACCTGCCACATTTCAACGTAGAGCCAAAGTTGATTTAACGTTGCAATCAAAGTTTTTCAACGTTGACTCAACATTGTGGGTGTTGAGACTTCGATGCTGTTACGTTACGTTACGACGTTGCACCAACATCGATGTGCAGACGGGATCAGACCCATCTGCTGTTTCCCGAGCCAGCTCGACTCGGACCCCCGCGGGCAGACTGCACGTCAGACGCCATTGTAATTCAGGGTTGTCGTCCGCGAATTGTCCGGATTCCACCGCATCGATCGGCCACTGATGATTATTGTCTCATTCTCGCCTCATCCCATGAACTCGACACGAAAGTACATCATGTGTTTAAAAACAGAAGAACCACGCAGAGATACAAAAGCAGAAGCAGTCATGAATCCGACTTAGCTGCTGCACGACATCCGGCAACCGTGGCGGACGTGACTCCATCCCGCACGATAAGCATAAAATACAACTAATTTCATCTCACAGTGTTGTGATGCACCACCAACGGAAAGGCGCTTATCTCGCTCTTTAAGTCCATATCTTTTTTTTTTACGAGACTTATCTTCGAAAAATACTTCAGGAGAGGAGATTATGTTCTCAAGCACCCAAGAAGAATTTGGGGCTTACATTTGCTTCAAATTCTGCGTTCTGATGGTAAGAAGCCTGTCCAGGGCCGGATTAACAAGTTGCGAGGCCCGGGGCAAGTGGATTCTTGAGACTAACCCCCCCACGGTACTTCAGGCAAATATTTAACGTTAATTTCCTTCGGGGGGCCTCTGGAAGAGTGGGGCCCGGGGCAACAGCCCCCTTTGCCCCCTCCCCCCTCCCGCCCTTAATCCGGCCCTGAGCATGCCCAATTTCCTTCCTCCAGATGCTTTCAGAGAGGAAGAAGAGGAAGTGGAAGGGGACTAGGCGCTACTGCGAATTAGGCCCGCAAAGGGGCTCATGAAGTAGGATGAAAAGGATGTGGACTGCAAATTATTTAGTGGTTGGGTCTCTGTGGACTTTTCCGCTTTCGTAAGTTCGTCGAGGTCTGAGCGAGTTTCGGCCCCTTGGGATTCGGCGAAACATTCATTTTTTTGGACTGCGTCCCATGATTGTTTTGATGTTTGTATGTATTGGGGTGCATTGTGGGTGGTGTGGAATGTGGATGTGGGGAAGTGGGGCGGCTGGGAAAGGTGGGGCTGGTGGGGCATAGCTGCATCCGAGCGCCCAGTGACTGCATTAAATTTGACAGGTATTCTTGCAATAACATTTTTTTTTAAAATAAACTCTCACCTCAAACCACTCCAGGCTCTCCCACAGCGTGAATATAGAATTAGCCATCGAACAACAGAAGTGATGGCAGATCCACAGAGAGACCTAAAGCAGACAGGTCGAAATGCATTCCCTTAGTTCCGAAATCAAGAAAAAAAAAATGCCCGCAGACTGCAGTCTGTAGCCTGCTATTTTCTCAAACGCTTCAGGGCAAGACGCAACCGTAGTGTTCTGTCAATCGAGTGAGCCGAGAGCGAATTCTCCTCTTGAGATCGGGACCGAATGCCCAGGCGGACCGATCCACGAGGGATTCGTCGTTCACGCAATCGTCTCCGCCGAACTCGCACACTCGGTAATGCTGAAGCAGGGCCACATCAGACGGTACCTTATACGTCTGGATCCTGCGAGACAGGTACTTCCACACGACGTGGTTCCCAGCGACGACCACCCGGTCCGGGATGGCCACGTACTTGGACCTCTGCCCGTGCGGGTTCTCCTTCGCCTTCCGGCGGGTCTTCGTCTGAGTCAATAGAGGCACGGGCAGCTCTTCGAATTCCTCGTCGTCTCCGAAATCCTCGTCTTCCCCCACGTCCTCGTCGTCTGGGAACTGGAGGTAGAAGAAGGCATTCCTGAAGGAGAAGCTCCCATAAGCCTCCTCGTTCCCTTTCTCCAAGTCCATCAAGAGTCTCAGCAGATCGGGATGCCGACCTCCCCTCGGCACGATGAACTCGTCCAGATCCACCATGAGCGCATACCGATACCTCCCCATATTTCGATACAGGCAGTCGTTGAGAGATGAGAAGATACCCTCCGTCCTGATCTCTTTCTGGGAGATCAAGTCCAGTCCTTGCCAGGGGAGGATCGTCACGATCTTCTCTTCCTCGTACGCCTTGAGGATGCAGGACACTTTCTCCCCGATCGAGTGATTGTAGAACACGAAATGGGACACGCCGAGGATTTGGTTAAACTCGAGGAATTCCAGGAACTTCCAAGCCGCGTCATAGGCATAATGAATGGGTTTGATGCAGGCAACCATTTCCCAGGCTCCAGGCCCCCACGGATTCGCCATCACCGGCAGGTCGAGTCGTCCTTCCACCGACATCGACACCCCTTTCGACGTCGACTCCCTTCTCGACGTCGACCCTCCTTTCGCCCCGCCGTAGAGCACGAGCGAGACCCGGACCGGCGGGTCGGAAAAGGCATTCGACGAAGGACACAAGACAAAGGACGAAGTGTACGTGAGATTCCAATTTTCCTGGAGATTCTTGACCCTCGGAAAGACCGTGAGATTCCTCCCATCCTCCCAGACGATGACGCAAGTGAGACCGAGTCTCCGTTTCGGCTTCGTCCTGGTCGCCGCCAGGATCCTCACCACGGCCGGGCGGAACCTCGCGTCCCAGTACGCGGAATACACGTGGATTTTTTCCGCCGCCCCCGCGGGTTCCGCGTACGTCAGCCTCTGCCATCCCCCGGCCCTCGAGGGCTCCCTCGTCTCAACTCGGGGCGGGACCGTGGAGCTCGGGACCGGCCCCGGTCGCCGCTCCTCTTTCACGTTCGAGCGGCAGACGAGGAGCAGGAAGAGGACGGAGGCAAACGCGAAGAACAGCCGTCTCTTCCCCATCTTCTCCCGCCAT